TCCTCAAAATCCTTAAACTCGAAAGCAACTCGAAGTTTGTGCGAAACTTTCATAATAACAGATCGTAGCAGCCGCTCTCAGACCAGAAGAAACGGGGGGCAGGACACTCACTCGTGTGTGAGTTTGTCGCTGGTGGTCAACCCATCCGAACCCATTCCATTTTATTCCAGCCCCATCGAGAAGATGTATTTTCACTTAAACGCTTTACTCTTCGAATAATGGCTTTAATGACTTTAATGGCGTTCAGATAATTTGGCCGCCAGGCACCTGCACGGCCCAGCTCTGCCCATCTCGGTTCTGCCCTGACCGCCTCGCCTCGACTCTTTCTCGACGTAATTGATGAAAGTAGATGGCCTCCGGGAAGAGGCATATCCAGGATGCCCATGTGAAATGAATATACTTTGTTTCTGCCGTTTTCTCTTTAAAATGCACTTGAGTACAAAGCGAATAAAAACGATAAGTTGCAATGAGATGAAAACAGAATAAAGTTGGAGATATTGCTTACAACTAGATTTATTCTTAAATATTTCTATGTGCCTTTCCAAGAGTAATATTTCTCGGCCACTTCACTAGGGTGATATAAACGCAGGTCTACCCGTGGTATTCATTCATCCGTCGACCTTGAAGCGGCAAAAAAATGCGGACAAGAGAGCGACAACTGTTGGGTAAAGGTAAATGGCAGTTCGTAAAAAGAAAGAAGGCAATAAAGAACACAGGTATGGCCAAAAACGAAACGAGAAACGGAAAAAACGTCATCGCACGGCGATACAAATCAAAAGGTGCAACATAAAAAATGACATTGGGAAAGCAGATAATTAAGCAAAGAGGCAGTGGAAGGGGGAGACGACTCATGGAACGACAACGGGCTGCCTGACCTGCCAGTCGAGAGGGTGGAGGTGGACAAGGAGAAATGCTGCTGCTGAATGACAAGTCGCATATTTTCAAAGAACAGGCAACAAAAAAGGAATAGACAAGAGGGAAACATTGGAAAATGCTCATAAATTTCCACAGACACATTCATAAGCAAGCGTAATAGAAGAGAAAGGGGAGCGGAGTGCATGGAGTGCAGAGGAAATGGCCAAGAGCAGCTGCAGGGGGAGGCGGCGAGCAAGGGAGCATGGCGATGATAGACTTGCGACTTGGTAGGGAGAACAGCGAACGGCACAGAGAGCCGAGAGGGAGACGAACTCTGAGATGAATTCCAAAATTAGTCAAACAGACCGAGTCAATTAAAATGAATGAGATGCTCTGCTGACGGAATTTATAGAACCGCTTTTGGAAGTGGGAGTGAAAGTGGGAGTGGGACTGAGCAGGCGGCTACTTAAAAACGCATTTCCCCGGAGGAAAATGGTCTTAATACAATATTTGTTTACGAAAACATTCCCAGCGGCCATTCAGAATGTCGCACTGCTGAATTTATAATACGAGTTTGGCCATTGCGACTTTTTAATTAAGATTCCGAGTGCAGCGCAGAGCCGAAAAATGCTTTTATTATTTTAATTACCCATTTTGGACTCAGCTGGATCGGGGCACTCAATATTAATTTCATAAAAATACGAGTATCTTGCCGGCAGCCATTTCAGCTTCTGTTCATTATTGTCTGTTGGGAACGTGTCTTTTGTTTGCTTTCCCGCCAGCTGGGGCCTTCTTTACAAAAAAGAGCTCCCAAAAACACACACAGCAAACATTCATGGAATAGATACGCATTTGTTCGACGTTCGATAAACATTTATTGGGCAATCCAATCACGGAACTCACGTCCCATTCGTGACAGTTTCGTTAAAATGTTTTTTCTCCATCTGACTTATTTTCTCTGTTGGGGTTTGCTATTCGAATTCCACAAGAATTATGTTTTCTGTATGAAAATTAAATAAATAAACAATTTCGAATGCTAATGGTATTTTAGCTATACCATTGGGAACCTTTTTTTTAAATTATATCGAAAATGAAGTTCAATGATAAATGATAGGTACTTATGTACTCGTACAATGTCTGTATACATAAGATCATATGTACATAATTAGCTAAAAATTGTAAAATAGTGCGTTAAAATTTAAAATATTTTCTTTTTCTGTTTTCAAGCGGTGAATATTACCTATTAACTTCAAATAATTTTGTTGAATTAATGCGTGCTTTAGGAAATCTTTATACAGGGCATTTAATATTATATTAATATTTTCACCCAATACAATGCATAAATATGTTATAAGACTCATATGCTCAGTAATTTTTATCCAAAAATGTCACATGGGAATATCAAAATAACTGAAATTCATATTCCAAAGTTGTATTGTTCACCCTTAAAACGCTTTGGTGTACATATAAAAATATGTATGAAGATGTTAATATAGCACAGATCGGGATATTTATTCAGGTTTTGAACATGAATTTACATGCGTATTTCGGAAATAAATGGATGTAAAGAAATGCAAAATGTAATTGGAAATTTGTACATTAATCGACTTTGAAAATCTACAAATCCATACACAAATAATCCCGAATAAACAATTATACGAATAAGGCCAGACAAAACCACAAATTTAACGATCAAATTGACATTTGATTCAAGAGGGACCAGACACTTTCTACACTGTGCCACTTTGGTTTTGATGGGCGGCGGGGTCAAAGTCAAGGCGAAGCCGCCCCTCGTCAAGACGGTGATTAGACGCATAATCTTTTGGGGCAATTTGTCACCGCAAGGAGCGGGCGCCGCCAGGCGAAGGCGAATGGCCACTAAAAATCATTTAAGGCGAAATAAAAGTATTCTTTATGGCCTTTTTATAGTTGCTGCAACAATCTAATAACAATCCAAATAATTATCCAAACAAACAATTCCAACGCCGCCAAAGCGACGGCAAATGTCAAAGCAGCAGCGAGGCAGCTCTCGGTTTCGGTTTCTGTTTCTGTTTTTCTTTCTGTTGCTGTTGCTGTTGCTGCCTCGACGGACGGACGCCCAAAATGAGCCATAAAACGAACATAAAACCCCAGTGCGAAATGCTACTGAGCTGGGGCCAGCCACGCTAGCATAACGCTAGGCCACGCCCATCCATTGCGACGCTGCGATGGCAGCGCAGCGCACACGGAAGCCATAACAGGCAAGGCAAAGTGCCGATAACTCAAAAGCAACTGTGGGAAAACGGCCATGCGGCGAGGCCGAGAGCGAGACAACATGTGCGACATGCTGGCCAACCATGATGGCTGCGCGCGCCCCATGCAGAGAGAACGGGACAGGGCGTGCTGCTTCTGTTGCCCTCTCGCTCGCTCGCTCACTCTCCTGCTGGCTCGGCCGCAGCCACGTGTTCTCTCGCATTAAACAAGTAAATCGCCCGTTGAGCATAATCGATACACACACTCGTACACCACCGCTCTTCTTGCTCTTTCGGATTCAATTCTCGTTCGTGAGAATCGTTTTTCTCACGCTCTCGGCTCTGCCGCTCCACGCCGCGCCGCACTACCCCGCGCCGACGCCATAACTGTCGTCGCTTATGGCCATTTTAAGTGCGACTGAATGTGGCTCAATTGTCAGAAGAGAAGAGAGCGTACCTCTCCACTCTCTCTTTCAACTTTTTGTTTGGCCGTGATGTTTGCCGGGACTAATTAGTATTGATTTAATTAGTCATTGACCACTTGACTGCCCAACTGCTCCACCAGAACTATATTCGATTTCTTCGCTCTCTGGAAAGGCTTTTCGGTGGAGCTTCGCTCCCCTGCTCTCCTGCTCTCCTGCTCTCCTCTCCCCAACAGGCAAAGGAAGGCGGGAGAGAGCGCCAGAAAGCGCGCGCATCCTCCATATTCGCACGGCTGCTAGAATGGGACATAAAATGTGCCAGGCAGTAAAAATGTAGATTTAAGTAAGTGGAAACGAGATCGTTACGTTGCGCATAAAAATAAAAATCATTGTGCTCCGGCACTGATTGAAATAAGCAGAGTGAGCAAGGCAGAGCTGAGCACAGGCAGAGTGGAGCTAAAAAGAGCAGCGCAGAGCACACAAGAGCAGGCGTTGCGTCGGCAACAGGCAGGGAATATCGAACCAGTTTTCCGCGGCCACGTTCATTCTCCTGCCTTTTCCACTCGGTTTTCTTTTGAGTGGAAAAGCGCTGAGAGTTCATTCCGCCTTGGCTTGGTTCCTGGCCTGCAGCTGCACAAAGGATGAGGGAGGCCAACGAGTCGTTGCGAGTCGATTTCCCTGTGCCGTTATCAATCACAACATTGGGGCTCTGAGGCCTAGGAGCACCTTGATATAACCTAAAACTTGTTTGTTTCTAGTTTCCCACACCCACACCCTCGCACCCTCTTCCCCCCCTTTTCTGTTGTTGTTCATTCCGTGTTCTCTCCCTCTGTGCCCATCCGTTCTACGAGTGTATCTTGTTGCTCTGCTCTGCCATGCCATGCCGCTTTTTAAGATTCTTTTCATTTTCATTTTATGGTTTTTATGCGGGTCTTTATGACTTTTATGGGGTTTAGTGCGTGCCAAAAACGAACAGCAGCAACAACCACTTTTAATTGAATAATGCCCCAGCGGCCCGTCCCGGCCCGGCCGACGGCGTCGGCTGTTTGTTGGGTTTCTTATGGCCGTACATAGTCCGAAGGCGTCGGCGTTGCGCCGGTAATTAGGCAGAGATAAACATTTAATTGGCGAATTCAGAATTGGAAATAGCCGTGAAATCCCCCCACTCCCCTATCAACTCGCATATTGACTATAATTGGGTCAGAGAACTGAAATACGGGTGCGTTCTGTTCCATTTGCTTCTTGGGTGGCCCTTCTCCGGTGAGGAAACACTTCAATTGGATTTGTAAATTAGCTGTATGAAATGTTTGGGAAACACACGACCTAAGGCATTGGAATATCTAAGACTAAGACACAAGCACATAGAGAGATACGCCCATCTGAGTGCTCAGATATCAAAAATGAATGCTTTAAAATATTTTCATGCGCTTGACTGGCATTATGCAGGTCCACGGGTTTCTCTGAGCGTTCCAAATAATTGCGAGTGGTCGAGTGCAGGAAAGAGTAAATTGATAAAGTATAAAAAAAAGAAACTTAATAATATAAATAAGTCGAGGCCGAGACTGTCGCAAGAGGCATCGAGCCCTGGTCAATTATGGCGCGGAGAATGGGCCGAGTTAATTGCAGTTTTTTAATATCTTTGCCCCTTGCTTTCTGTAGGAGCGATCGGAAAGTGAGTGTAAACACGACATGAAATGTGGCCATCGCCATCGCAATCGCCATCTACTTACCCTGAAACATGCCGCATGTCTCGGGCCCCGCGCCACACGCCACTCTGGCCACCTCGAAGCGGCAGTGGCAGGGCCAGACTCCCCGCCAGGCCCAGGGGCCCTACTCCTTTCGGCTGCCGCGTGAAAGGATGAAATTTATGACCGGCCCAGGCTCATGTAATTGCCACGCAATGCTGTCGGATCGCACTCGGAGTCTCTTGCATCCGTATCCGAGGTGGACGCTCACACAATTTTCAATTTGCTGAAATGAAAAAGGAAACAACAAAAAACAAAAACGGGAAATATGAAAACGTCACAAACAAAACAAACAGAGTGCCTGCTGCAGTGGTCCGAGAGTCCTCTGTGGAACGGCACGGCACGGCGATGGCACGTCCTGGTCCGGTCTTCGTCCAGCCAATGAACTCATGTGGCGCTGCCTGCAGTCAGTCGCTGCCACGGATCGGTTACGTGGAATGTCCTTTTAATGGACTTTACACTCTCACACTGCGCCCTCCGGCCTGGATCCGGATCCTTTTACAAACCTTTTAGGTTGCACTCGCATTCCGCGCTGTTTGATTGCCGTGAATTGCTTGCTGCATGATTTTTATCCCTTCCATCCATGTCCTTTTCCGCTCCTCTTCTTCAACGTCACAGATGTCATATTCATTTAGTTTCTGTGTTGGTTAAGGATGAGGATGCGCTGGCCCAGGCAATTATGAGATTTTCAGAGCTGACCAGCTGGCCGGATGGGATAGGACCACCTACCGGAGTACTATAAGATTTTCAATTATCAATTTATTACAAGACTTTTCGAATACAAATAATCACTGTTCAAAAGTTCTAAAATTTTGAGGAATCTTCACGTTTTTGTCTACAAACACTCTTCCCCTGTTAACTACTCTTTTAGCTCTTTGTGGCGAGTGCTCTTCAGTTAAATTAGTAGCTTGGTGTTGACTGTACGACTCGAGAGGTCAGAAGTGGACATGCAGAGTCATGACTGTCGCTCTGGAGAGCCCAGAGCTCCGGCTCTCGTGGTGGGTAGACAGATGCGATGGCGGCGTCAAATGTAACGCTGAATTTATTACGGGGGGACTTTATTTATGCGCTTATCGCGCTGCCAGTTGCCGTTGCCGTGGCTGTTGCTGTTGCCGGCCTTAGCACGTTGTCAAGTGTTTATCTTGGCCCCCGGACCCGGAGCCCAAACCAGATCCCAAAACATATCCCGCACTCGGCCAGAGCCACAGCTCGAAACGAAATACCAAAAAGCTTAACATGGAATTTATGGCTGCACCTAAATCATGCGTCGAAAAAACAACAACTTACGAATATGTATCCGAGTGTGCGAGTGCTTTGGTGAGTGTATGCATGAATGAGCCTGTCGCATGATTTAGGGGCCCCGAGTCGCAGTCGAGAAATTTAAATAATAAATATTTCATAGTTACAGACAAACACACACAAAGCGAGCAAATGTATACCCATCCCGATGGATACAGCCACAGCCCAAGCCCGAGTCCAAAACCAAATTCCATTCCACATCCAAATCGAAGCCATTCGTAAAATATTCAAATCGAACGCGACTAAATCAAAACATTGTCGAAATAAAGCGTTTGAAAATTGAATTTCTGTTTCTTTGGTTCTGTCTCTGGCTGTGGCTCTTTCTGTTTCTTTTCACTTCATCTCGGGCAAAATTGAAAAGCATTTGTAACGGAAATGAAAGCCAATCCAATCGGTTGCTACACGCTTCAGGGGAGGAAACCAGACAGACTCAACTCGCATTGAGTCGCTTGGGTCTTTTGAATTTAAATTAAGAAATTTATCTTTTGAATGCGCCTTCCATTTCGACTTTGCGAGGGAGGGTGCCGGTGCCTCTCCCCTCGTGGCCTTTTTGTTGCTCCGATGTAAGTTGTCTGGCATCTCCCACCTCTTTGGACCAATAAAAACGAAATGAATTCCATTTGCTTTGTTTTGGCAAACGCCTCACTTCCAGTTCTAAGATTGCCATCAAACTGAAACCAGATACTCAAAGTTTTGCTTGTTTTTTATAACATTTTAAATTATTTTGCGAGCGTTGTTGTTTTCTTCTGCTGCGAAACGTGTATCATGAAGTTATTAAAATTAGCTCGTCGAGATTTATTTAATCTGATCTTATTGCACCTTTTCATTTGGGAGTCGACTCATTTGTGGATTTGGAGAAGCTTCTAACAATTTGTAGCCCAGCGGAGCAGTGATTTCGAATGGTTCAAATTGGCATTTATGGCCGACTTCATGGCCAATAAAAATTTGCATTGTATTATTATTTGTCAACTGGCCGAAACCAGATCGGCTGCGAGCCAGGCCAGTCCGCTGCAGCCATAAATTAGCGACCCCAACTGCCACGGAATTTGCATTCGAAATTACGCTTCTTAAAGATAAATACCTTAAATCGGTTGTTATTTAGAAGACCATAACATAAATTGCAAAAACAAATAATGCCATTTGTCAATGGGATTACGAATTGGGATCTGCAATATGTCCACAGTTTTTATTGCTCCTAATGCATTTCGCATTCGGAATGCCCCGACACTGCGATTAACATACAAATCAGCCAATTGGTAGGCAGATCAACAATCATCATTATAAAAAGATGAAATGAATGCACACCAAAGTGTAAGATCCCATAAATAAATACATAAGAGTATAAATTAGGAATGAGTCAGATAATAGTTAAGTTTACGCATGATGCAGATTCAGAAAATAATTGCAGAATAATTAATTAATAATTTAAAACTCCAACTCATCACTGTTCATTTTATTATCGTTTACAGAAAACACACAATACATTTTCCTGTGCACTCAACTCTGTCTCGAATAATGCTACAAAAGTGTTTTCCATTTTGGGCACATTAAAAATTCCACACGCGTTTTGGGTGCGTCTCCACATGAATATGTACGAGTATGTCTGTACATCTGTACTGCATGTAAGCACATGAATCGTATTATTTATGAGTCCTTGTGAGTGCCTGGGCCAGGAGTCGGGCTTTTAATCAGAACGGGGAACCCTGTCCGAGCCCTGATGCTGATGATTTGTGGTGAAGCAGAGATTGGCAAGTGGGTCAGTGTGCCTGTGGGGTAGAACGACGCGAAGGATACGGATACGAGTATTTAGGCCACTCGACCATCCCCAGGCCAATTTGTGCCATGTGTGCAGAGTCGCCCAAATAAAGGGCCCAAAACAAAGCACAAAAAACCAGATGCGGACACGGTTCCAGTTTCGCTTGCAGCCAAATGTAGGTGAAGAGCGGACAAGAGCGAGAGCGGGAGCAGACCCTGACCGCTGGCCATTGACCGAACCCAGATCCAGACGTAGACCCGCACGAGTCTCTGGCCTGGGCTCAGGGACGGCCTGAAATGCTCGAAAATCTCATTTGCATATTCTGCAAACGGTAAACGTAACAGAACCAGAAACAGGGAAAGTGTTGTCTGAAATTGCTTCTCTATCTTCGGTCTGTCCGTCTCTCTGAATCTCTCTCTGTTTCTCTGCGTGAGTTTGTTTTTTAATTTCAACTGCCATTTGGGTGCTTGTTTTTCCAATTAACAGACGAATTTTTCATTTCATGTAATTTAGTTTTTTTTGCTCCGTTTCGATGCCAATACTTTCCACACCGACCTTTCGACCTATTCGCATTATGGAACTGAAAGTCCGTCTATTGGTGGATGAGCTATGCCCTACTCAGAGCCTCCTACCACCACCGATTGCGATCTAATTAAATGAGTTATGGCGCCGGCATAATGCCAGTACTTTGGCTTCGGATAAACGTTTGCCGCCTAATCCCCGCCCCGCCTCAGAGCGGGAGCCAGCGACAGGCCCAGAGATACGGCCGGTCTCTGGCGATTTACGAGCTCGAATTTTGCATAGTTTGAAATGGCATAAAGCACCAACTTGGACACAATTCATTTCCCTGGGCATACAAATCTGCCGTTTTGCATTTGGCGGCCATGAATCATGGCTGGCAGCGGACTGCAGGCAGAGTTAAAAAATATTTACAATGGAAAATGCATCGGGAAAGTCATCCATCCATATAGATAGAACATAGTCCCTGAATGTTGGTGCAACTACAACGAACATTACATTTAAAATTCTCTTATTTAAGACACAGAGAACTAGATCCCACTGTACTCTGGTACTGGTATCCCGTTGGGGCGCAACCCGTTAAATGCCAGGCTCCTTTGGCAGGGAAACTTCCAGTTTCGGGTGGACGTCGAATGGCATCGGAATTTATGCACATTTTATTGACCAACGCAGAGAAAAGAGAAAAGAGCAGGACAGAGTCAAAGTTGGGCTGGTTGTTGGCACAACAACGTGTCCAAAAGTGTTTTATGGCCGTTGTGGGCGCTCAAGTGGCCATTTTGGGTCGACCGGCGGACTGCAAGGAGGCAGGAGTGGAGTGCATATAAAATGCACTCGCCAGAATGTCCGACAACCACTTGGTCGGGCTGGAAGGAGACCGAGGAGCCCTGAATACAGATGAGCAGAGGCATATGAGTGTTGTACTAAATACTAAACACTCTCAAGTATTTGCAGCTCTAATGCCACGCTGATTTATGGCAGCTGATGGCAGCCTTTGGCATTGGGACTTTGAGCTAAAACCGCAGTTGCAATTAGTTGGAGTCGCCTGTGCCTTGGGCCGTGTCAACGACCTTCCGCGAACGAAGCTGTAACGATCCGCGCACACAAAAGCGGTTCAAAGTCAAAAAGTCAATTAGCTTCTGATGAGGAATACAGCCAGAGCCTGGACCCGTACCGGACACGGACTCGGACCCGCACCAGTGCGGATACCTAAAAATACATTGAATCGGGGCAATGGAGTCCGCGCCGGCGGCTGGATGGCGTGGAAATCTCGTTAAAAGTCAATAACAGACGCCATTAAATGTGCATGAAAATTAAATGAAAACGGCTTGATGATGCGGCCTGCGGGATGGTGGGTGCGAGTGGGGGCGTAGTGCAGAGCAGGCAGACACGCGACCACTTGAACTTGAGGCAGCTGGGGCATCCAACGGCAGTGGCAGTGGCAGCGGCAGCGGCAGCGGGGCCAGTCATTTGAGCTGACCCCAAAGCGGGCAGACAAGTAGAGTTCAGGTTCAATGGCATCCCAGCGGGGAAGCAGAGTGAATAATGCGATACGGAATTGCGATAAGCTAAATTCATTCGATCCCTCCACCATCTGTTGCAATGCTAGAACGAACCGACATTTACTTAATCAACGCGATGTGTGTCCGTGCACTAATTATAAATGTGACATAATTACATACACATAAATATGGGAATGAAAGAGGACTGGAATTTAAATTCATTCTCATTGTAGGTTGTGTTTGGAACACGCATAGAACACTTTGCCGCAAAAGTCAGCTGGAAACATATTCAACACACTCTTAGCACTTTTACACCGCTCTCCAAGTAAACAAATTATACAAAAATCAAATAATTTGCATATAAATTTCTGACAAGATGAATCGCATTCTGGAGGATGTTATCCACAAGAACGCTGACACCATCGAGCGCATCACGAGCGAGAACACAATGGGATACGTGGTGGCAGACAACTCGACCCATTCCGTGGCCGAGACCTCGTTCGACAACACCGGAGCCCTGGCGATCGTGAAGCACTTGCACGGGGTTCTCGTCAGCTCGTGCCAGAGTGTCGTCCGGGACCTGGATCCCACCAACAAGCTGTGCTTCCTGCGGGTCGCCACTCGCAAGTTCGAGTATCTGGTGGCCCCCGAGGAGGACTTCACCATAACCGTTCTGCAGTAGCCAGCTGGATTGGGATCGACTGGAGGAGGCGTTCGTTCTATTATCATGTTAAAATCAACTGGTCTGTGTGTGTTTCCCTCTACAATATAATACAAGGAGTTCTGCTCGTTGTTTATGGGGTAACGATGAGCTGAAGCTGAACCCTTTCAAATGCTAACTAAATTCAGAAGAATGCTTTAATCAACAGTGCGGGAATCGGCCACCCGAAAATCCTTTATAATACCCTGGCGACGTTCCGAGCTGGATTATTTACGACATGGCTTCATCGGGCAGGAAATGTATCTGTGAGAATGCGAATGCGGCTTTCTAATGCGATAATTCAAAAGATTTACTTCTGTCAACATGACCATTTTGTAGAGAGAAGACCTTAGGTTTAGACGATACGTTTTCGGGGTGGAAATGTGGCCTTTGACCTTTTTTTGCTTCCTCCATCTTGCGCTCTGCCACAATTGATGCTGCCTGCTATTTTAATTTAAAATGGCCGAAATCGTAACTCATTTTTACGATGTACCCTCCGGGCAGTGGATGTGCGACGAGTATCTTGTCCTATTTTTACGTAGCCTTGCAGGGGTTGCTTCTCTCTCAATCGTTACAATAACTTATCTGCCCTTTTTGTTCTACCCGAGTCCATAATCACCACGAAACAGTGACGGAGATGGAGAGGGAGAGGGAGACGCTCCTGGGGTGCGCTTTGTGATTCTCGCAGCTATCTTGAAGCAGTTTCCATTGTCTGGCACCGTTTTGTGGTGCAGGGTAAATATAAAAATATCAAAATTTGTACAAAAACTTAATTCATCTGTCGGCTCGCCCCGTTCCACCATTGTGCCGCGACGGAATCGACCCCAGAACTGCGTACTTCATTTCAGGCAGCGTGAAATGAAATTACTCCATGGTCCATTCCCACTGACGACTTCATCTGGAAGCCCCGTGTCCCCAGACCAAACCCGATTCCTGCGAAATTATGAATGCTCATGGAAATTAGAAACACTTTGAATTAAATTCAAATAAAACGATTTCCCAGCTCTCCAATGGAGGTTCAGGTTCAGTCCGTCAACTATGTCCAGACCCAACTCGCTTTCATGCATTACTTTATAGCCTTGTCACCTTTTCAAGGGTCTCATCCGCGTGATATTTGCTATCTGCTATTCTCTGCATTCAATTGAGTTGTGCGGAAAACCTGAACGGCCAAAAATACGCATTCATATCGAATATACTTATATTTTTAACCATATTAATATAGATAATTATATTTTGGCCTAATTTTATTAATTTTAATTAATACTTAACTTCATAAATAAATGAACAATTTAACGAAGAGAACCGCCATCAAAGTATACTAATTTCTTATTTAGAAAAAAATTAATTATATTTATTTGGCTGGTTTCTTGGTCTCAAAAGTCCGACTTTCACAATGTATTGAGACGTTACCAGATGGCGGAGTACTATGCACACGTGCAGACAAAAGCTTTGAACATTATTCTTTTAGATCCAATTTGTTTCATAAAAATACAATGTTTCGTTCAGAAGTTATAATTCATTACAATTATAATATAATTTAGTATGAACAGTGTGAGGCCATCACGGCGCATTCGTTGGCGTCGGCAGAGAGAGCATAAGAGAAAGAGGGACGACAAATAACAGCAAGCAAGTCTTGTTGGACGGGGAGCTCGAAAATACACACATACACACAGACTACACGTAAAATAACATCCATCCCTAAAACCAAGCCCATTTTCACTTTTGCCACGCAGCGGCGCACACGTTCTCTCCGGAGTGGAAGAAAAAGTATAACAAAAATTATAAATTTAACTGTGCACAAACAATAATACATAATAAAATAAATAAAAGTATTATTAATACAAAAGTATACTAAATAAATAGTAACAAATAAATAAGTAACAAATAAAACAATAAAATACAAGTTTTCTTCTTCTTCGTTGCTGAACGAGCTGCCGAAGCTGCTGCTTTCTTACGCCAGATGGGGTGTAGTGCGCTGGCGACATCTATTGCTTGTTCTGCTCCGTGTGAACATCTTCATGTGCAGTTTTAGAGTCATTGCATCTCCTTAACTCTGTTATTTAGCAGACGGACTACTGTTAAAAATACAACTTTAACGATTCACTCGAATGTATTCAAATATCTACAAAAATGTGAAAATGTCAATTCGATTATTATCCATAATTTTGTGTTATTTTTACAGCTTCAGAAATTGTGGCCTAGAGGCCACACTTGTTTAAGTGTGTAGTCACAGGACCTTGTATGGTCTTTACAGTCTCTGAGATTAATAGTCACGGGTACCTATAAGCATTTCTTTCATGAGTACTTACAGTTTCTTGATACCAAAGTGGCCATATGGTTAAATTTAATTTCTAATACTATTATAATACCTACAAATACACAGACATTTTCCATAAAAACGCTTCCAAATATATTAACTTTGTTTAACAAACACACACATGCATTTTCCCACTGCCACGTTCATCATTTGACCACATTGATTGGCGACCATCCAGCAACTTGCGAGGGGTCAACTGAGCATATTGCCAATCAGAGACTTCGATTCAATTTCCTCGACTTGCCAGAGAGACGATAATGGGAATGGAGCATAAAAGCCAAGTGCGGGTGTTGCAACGCAAACGATTCATTCAAAATCGGAGCAATCAAGGCATCACATCAGGATCAGGCCAAGACAACAAAATTACTTTGAGCATCGTTAGGACCACAACTCTGACTCCGACTTGCAGTCTCCTTCGTATTGTCTGGGGGAAATGCCCGATCAGAAAGGGCAAGACTGCCCCCGTCACAGGGCTGATGAAGGGGAAAAACATGAAAATCATCTTTCGTGGCAGGCAGCATCGAAACACCAAGACACCAATCGCAATCAGGTGAGGTGGAAGGTGGGAGGTGGATGACGCGGCGTCCAGGCTGCATATGTGAGGCTGTCCGGTCCAGGCCCGGCCAAGTCTTTCACGTGCGGAGAGACAACCCAAAGAAGAAGACTCTCGACTGCTTTTTATTTTGCTGCCGGCGCTGTCCACAAATGCAATACACGCAACGCTGCCATGGCGGAGCATCCAGTTCGACATCAACTGGTTTTCTGCATCCAGCCCCCTCCAACCCACCACGCAGCACTCACGAACCTTTTCAATGTGAAAATCATATAAAGATTTTGAAACCATTTTGAGTTGCAACTATTTAGGACAGTAAAACATTTAATGCCATTTATCTTATTAATATGAACACTAAGGAGAGTCAAAATTGAGTATCTACTGTATTAATATTTGAGTTCGTAACACCTACTATAAATGTATATATTATTTGTTGGACAATGGAAACTTTTCTCACACAAGGCACCTCCTTAAGCGCCTCGTCTAAGCTGTTGCAAGAGCAATGCAAACACACAGTTTGCTCGCTCAGTTTTAGCTCCGTTCTGATTCCGTCTCTGTCTCTGTAGCTGTCCTTATTTTCCTGTCCGTCTGTTGATGTTCCTGTCTCCGGCTCATTGTTCGTCTCGGTTCAGTTTGGTTTGGTTCCGTAAATTACACTTTTGATTTTTAGTGGCCGTAAAATAATCGTAAATGTCGTGGTTATTGCGACCGAAAGTGCCCATTTTGAGTGCTGCTGCTGCTGCTTTCTGTTGCTCCTCCGTATCACCCCTCTATAACTGATATTTCAGCCAACTCGGTGCAGTGTGCGGACATGGGACGGCCACCAAGTTGGTTGGGAACGTGCTGCCACTGCACAAGCAGCACGAATCCCTCCACTCCCCTGCCCACTCTATCCCCGCGGGGGGCACGTTGCACTTGTTGTTTTTAATAAGTTTGTGGCGGTTGTTGTTCCTGGCTTTCTTCTGCCTGGCTGATGCTCCCTTGATGTTTCGATTAAGTTCGGAGTTCGCTTCGTCGAACTGGTTGGATGGGTCTGAGTCTGAGTCTGAGTCTGGCCTGTCCCTGCCACAGCCACTGCTTCTTCCTCCCTCTCTGAGGGAGCAGTTTGGCTTAAGTTTATGGCCATTTCGTTCGTTTCACTGTCTTGCGGTTTCGATGTTGCTTGTGGGGCTTGGCCGTTCCTCTGCCTGTGGAGCTGCCGTCGAGCTGATTTTCTTGAGCATTTCACCCATTTACCTTTATATATTTCGGCTTGTTCAAGACATTTTCTCACATCGCAGCTCACGGGGCTCCTCTGCCACACGGCTCTTCGTCTCTGACGCAACTGGTTGCCCATTGGCCCGCCAGCTCTCTTCTCTACCACGCTCCATGCACTCTACACTCAAAAATTTCGAATTTGATTTTATTGTTATGATTTCAATTGTTTTCCCAATGTAAACACTGGAGAGTGCCAGCACAGAGAGGGCCAACATGTCGGGTTTTCGGTTAAATAATGCTCGATTTTTATGATAGTTTCAAGTTCTACGCGAATCGTTAGTCAGAGTCTACTTAGGTTGAACGAGGACGAGGCCCGCAAGCTCCTTTGAGGCAGATTTTCAAACGCTCCAAATCGACTTTAGCTGGGAGAAACTTTCATCTTGCAAATGAGCGAAGAAAGCACAAATTTCTACCATTTACCTACCATGCAAATTATTAAATTATTCTCATCTAATGATGCATTTGTCCTACGACTGCCCAGAGGACGGCCTGATTTATAGATTCTAAGTACTGCTTATCCACCTTATTAGCATTCTCAGATCATTTCTATACAAGTCACATTAGAACGCCCAATTTCACGAGAACAATTATGGGCTGGGCCGCCGGAGGTGATCATAATACCAATATGCTCCGGCTAGGCCCTGGCAGGACCCGAAGGTCGAAAGAAAGAATGAACGAGACGGGACGATCGGCGTTGAGGGGTCCGGTGCGGACTGGAAACCAAATCAATTCATAAATCATAAAAATGTGTCATAAAAAATATTTGTGTCGCCTTCAATAATAACAGCCATAAATGGAAATGGCAGTGGAAACGGAAAAACAACAGCCACAGCCAGGCAGGAGTATGAAGCTGCCTTTCAACATGTCCTCGAGAAAGTAAAAAACGCTCAAGGCAAAAGGAGAAGGGAGAAGACTTGTTGGGTGACCTTAGGAGATTTGTTTTGACTTCTATCCGAGGCCTGTTATCGCATCTCGCCAGAGCCACAACGATCCCAAAAGAGGACACACAGGACACGGCACAAATACGTTGGTATTGTCTGCCTTTGCCAGTTCGATTATTGCCGCCTCGGTAATAAATCATAAAAATATGTTTAGTCGCAGAGATGTGAGTAGGGAATGCTGCCTCGTTACACGGTGGAATTGGAATTGTAAATCCCCTGTAAAATTGCTCTCGCCCTGCTCTGTATGCTCAACTCTGCGGTGGTGGCATCTCTCCAGCATGGTATCCCTCTGTAGGTACGACGATCGCGCCCTCGAGCATCTGATAACAAAACCACCAGCATGGCCAATGCCCATGGAAACAAAGGCCAGCAACTTTCTCTTTGGCATCATCTGATTTGGGCCGCATTCATCCTCGAGCGTTGCCTTGCCAAATATGAGCATTTTGATTTATTTTCGAAATATTCTCTCCTCTGAAGATTTATTGATGTGCTGTTGTCAGTAAGAGGCGCCTGGAATTGTGTTCCTGTGTTCTCCTGTATCTGCATTGAAATTGCGAACTGGAAAGTAGGGGCTGAGCATTAACACCATATTTGTAGCTTAATAACTTGGCTGATAAGGCCCCCAATTATACATAATATCATCCATTATAATTTTAATAAACTCTTGCCTTTGTTTCTTTCTAATCCGCAGCACATTAACACTTCCCATTGGACAGAGATGGCTTCATTTTCAGGCCATGCACGCCATATGCAACTTGAGTCGTCTTGCCACAGATGTCAGTGCTGTACTTGCAGTTGCACCCGCTCATTCTCAGGGCTGGCTCCACATGATTTACTACAAGCAGATGATTTAATGTAACCGCACATACATACGTACACGATACACGAACATGGGGCAGGCCACTTCAGATCCAGCCCAGCCCAGACACCCCACATGTGTTGCAACCGAAGCGTTGCAGCAGTTGAAAGAAGAACCCCGAGACGGCAGTGACGGTGTCCTCCATCTTGAAAACTGATGCTTCGATGAAGCGGCAGAGGATTCCATTTAGCAGCGAGAGGTTGATGAAACAGCAAATAAACAAAATCTAAGTAGAATCTTACATGTACGCCAACCCTTTCCCGGAAGAGTGCGTTAATCAGGGTGTCAACGAGCTGCGACCTTGCCGAGAGAGTCCATTCAGATGCTGGCCAAAATACAACATCAAAACAAATCGTTAAAATGCAATAAAACTCTCAGAGATGGAGGAGTCCGCATCCATATGCAATCACTAAACAAGAGCCAAGGCAAATGCATTCGAATAAAATTTTACCACCATTTCCTCGAGCATCATCAGCAGCAGGAGCATCATCAAACTAACGGCGGCAACATCCGAGGCACCTCATAAAAGTAATGACGTCTATGGCCCATCAGCATCTGATAGAAGCTGATAGATACATTTGTATCTGCGCACGGAGGCGAGCGGAGGGATATCACAATAATTATGGCATACGTCACGGAACTTGGGTTTTTATATCTTTTATATTGATTGTCATCGTGTCACACTAACAGATCGTAAAAAAGTCGTAAAATCCGAAGACTCTCGCTCTGACTCTGCTCCTGTCCGGGCCAATGGATGGGCGAGTGAGTGCATTACCAGAGTGAGCGATGAAGTCCTCATCCCTTGGGCTCACAAAACACTCAGGATCGGGCAGGACCTCAAGCCGACTCCAACTCACACAGGGACAAGCGGATGATGATGAGCTGGATCGTTACCGTTCTGAGCTCTCAGTTCTGAGTGATTTTCAGTCTCTGCCGCTCGAGGGGAAGTGGCGTCAAGTCGTAAAAAGGCCATAAAATGCTTGGCCTCTGTGTTGGTACTAACCGCAATTTGTTTATATTGTTGTTAAAATGCCGTTCCATCTTGTTCTGCTTAGCATTTAATTGTCGACTGCCAGCTTTTCTTTTTACGAGCCAATAAAATCTATTTAACGACAATTTAAATGGTTTCATTTGGTATTTGGTACCGGTCCGGTACGGGCTGCAAGGGCTGACAAATGGAACGGAAACAAACTCAGCAACAGGTTCTGTTTTATCACCCAATTAATAAACCAAAGACACTAATCCATGTAGAAGTGTGTCAATCATCATAAATTATTGCAATAATCTACTAAATGCCTTACTTTACCTTTAATTTGCCATTTTTTCTAGCTTAAACTAATTTTTAACTTAAGTAATTTGGAATCCCTTTTATGCTGTTTGGGTAACTATATTTTTAGAGCGCCAAGAAATATTTCTTATTAGGTGAAAATCACTTGGAATTCTCTTCATGATTCCCCAACCTTATTCCCACCTTCAAAGCAAACACACACCAACAAGAGCCAGGGGAAAATCTTACCCTTTTCCCACCAGCTTGATGACTTAATCCACCGCAAAGTGGCTCAGTGGTGCCGGGCATGGTGCTCATTACGAGGTCAGAAATCAATTGCAGTTCCGAGCAGCGGCCAGCGCCGAAACGCTGCGAAGTGAGGAACCAACTGCTTATGCAAAACACCGGGGCCCTGTCTGCAGACAAAAGAGATGCCTGAGCCAGTGCCAGTGGTGGGTCAGTCGGACACAATGAAGACATTCGTCTCAGCGGCGGCTGCTCTTACCTACTAATCCTGCCAATGAACCCTTGACTTCTGGCCGCAATTCATCAAACAATCGGCAGGGCATTTGCATGTGGCTGTCATCGGCTCAGCTCGGTTCTTCTCCCTGCGAGAGTCCTGTGCGAAGGGCGAAGGCGACTAATTGAGTACTTGTGGTGGCTCACGGTTTTCGCCTACTTGTTGGCCAACCACAGCCAGCTGGTTAGCCAGGTTAGCCTCTCACCCAGTGCAGACCCAGTGCCAGACCCGCCTACATACCGTTATTAACCGGAGTAAGCCGAATGGAATCCTTTTTCACTTTTCCCGGCCGAGCTGGGCTTGCGAAAACGTGCAAAGTGGGTGTAAACGGATCGAAATGATGATTGTTTATTGTAATTTTTATGACTGCTTTGCACACAAACACGCCAAGGCAAGGCGCTGATGATTGCACTCGGACAAGGGCCACAGGCATGCAGGGCCAAGGAGGCAGCAATACTATTCTGGCGGAATGGCTCTGGCCCATACCCACACTGCCAAAGGGCATTCTAAAGGGCGAAGGCGGAGAAACACACAGACAGAGAGACAGACAGAGTCTCGACTGACGACAACCCAGGAGGCACTTGAAAACTTTCTAATTAAGCCATTTGCCAGATAGTTATTGATGGCACGTAATGCCAGTGCGGGAGCAAGCAATGCCAGTGATAATTTGCACATCAGGATTAACATTGATGCTTGCTTTGACATTGATCCACAAATAGTTTCTAGGTAGTTCAGAGCATTACATGAACAGATACAGAGATCCCTTTCCTTTCCTAGTTTATTGTAAATTGAAGTGCAGTTCCTGCAGCTACAGCTTAGAAGATATTTATAGCGCCGGCATTTTCTAATGACGCCTAATATGAAGCCAAGGAAAACTGATTAAATTTTTAGCACGCTGCTTATCAATTTCAATCAATTTGGCTCACATCAGTCGGTGCCCAGAAATAATTCGCTTCTTGGATACACATTACGAATCCATCAGGCCAATCTTCCAATCATCTACATGCCAGCATCTATCGCAGGTGCTCATCTATGTGCTCGGCACACGTCAACTCCAGGCAGTCAGTCGAGGCGAGACGAGGCGAGGAGTCGGCGGGCATCCTCATGGAGATCGAGTTCTGCCATCGTACTAATACGCAACTATTACTGGCCTGGGACTGGTTTGCTTTATGGCCCAAACAGTTTGCTGCGTTGGCTCAGCCCACTCCGTCCCCTCGTCCCTGTCTCGAACCACGGCTGGGGGAATAAATTAAAGCAACGTTTATGGAATGGCGCTGGGGGCGGTTATGATGCATTTTTAATTGACGTTCATTTGAAGAAAGGCGAAGAACGCTTCAATTCAATTATGCCCCACTGTTACCTCTCCACAAGTAGTTGCAGTTGCAGCTCCAACTGTGATTCCAACTCCAACTCCGACTCCGACTGCAACGGCGTGTCCAACTCCGAGCCCCTGTCCGGGCCGGGCCATAAAAGGCGCTGGCAACGGTTTTGGGCCAAATTGCCACTTTGTGTGCAAATTTGAATTGTGGAAATGCTGGGCATAAAATGGGAATCGCTCGCCTCTCCATTGTCGAGGCAGTGAAGCAGTCACTCGTATCTCCCGAATGCAATCTCGGAAACACATTTTAAGCGCTGCAGCTCGTCAAGAAATCTGTGGTAGGTCTCCACTTGGCCCACCCCATCCGACACCCACACCCACACCCACACCCGCGCTTTTCAATTACCGCCACCAACGTTGGTGGCAGGCAACTCCTAACGAATGCACGCCCAATTGTTGCACATACGAATCCGAGTTGCAGTTGACAGGCAACAGTGGCGGTGGCGCGTTGGCCGGTGGCACGTCAACTTATTCATTAATCCATCAAATCGGAGGCTCGCTTTGGAATCCCCTCACGATTTATTCGCAAAGCGCAATCGCAATCGCTTTGGCAGTCGTCGATAGTCTTAATTGGCTCCGATTCGATTGTATAAAATAGTCGTTAGGAAACGTGTTCTGCTTAATTGGAAAATTTGTATGTCTTGTCCGTTTCTCGGGTCTGGCTTTATTGATTTTCCACCATCGCAGCGCAGGAATATTCTCGGAGTTGTGCGGCCAGGTCGTGGGTCTTTGGATGAATCCGAATAACGGTGGAGCCAGCTTCAAATGAGCTCAGGTGTTCCGTTAACAAGACTAAACGACGTCTTGGCCATGGACGAGAGAAACTGGAAGGATGTGAATCATTTTTGCGACTTGTTTGGATAAAAATAAGCAGGAGATTGGGTTCGAATGTCTGCCACATAGGCAAAATATTTCCCTCTTTAATTTCTTTTCAGTTTTTAAACATTTCTTGCCTTGCCATTTTTGATTGGTGCCACAATTTGGTTCTTTTTGGGAAAGCTGTGAATTTAAAGGCAGTTTAAGCTTCAATGATTTTGTGACAACCAATGGCCTGTGGCACTAAATATTCAACTTTGTGCAACGCAGCTCGGGCACGGCCCTTCGATGCACCTGCATTTGACGATGTTCGCACACAAATTGGCATTAAGCTGAAATCCGCAAATGTTTATAAATCCGTATTAAATTCATAATGCAGAATGCTTAATGCATAAATACATAATACAATTTTACGACTTTTACCTTATCTTGTCACACAAAAACCATAATAAACTTTCATTTAAAAACGAAACGGGACATTTTTTCAGCCTCTACTCCGTTACAGCATTTTACGAGTATTTTATTTGTGCACGTTGCAGTTTCAGTTGCATTCGCAGTGGCACTGTGGCATTGAGCTGAACTCTGCCGCAACACACGTGCACGGGCAGGCGCCACATGCGGCTGTGGCAGCGTCGCTGGCCAATCGAGCGCCAAACAATTTGTCATTTTTTGCCTCTCCAGCGGTGGGTGCGAGGTGGGAGGACGCGCCAGAGGAGACGATGATCAATGCTTTGAATTATGATGAGGATTTATGCTTGACACTGTCCCAATGTGGCTGATAGTGCCGGACAGCTCGGACAGCAGATGGATGGATGAATGGACAAGCATTTACAGCTCTGCCCGCTGCCGGCTGTCCACTAGCCACTGCCCCATGCCTCTATCCAGTGGCGCTAGTTTTATGACGTCCACTTCCCCATGCGCCGACGAAGCGTCGTCAATGGAATGAAAACGAACTCTGCTGGCTCCAGCCGATCCCATGGCCCCTTCTATGATTTATTAAGTGTTAATAAAGAACTTAAATCCGTTGGATTGCATTTCGCATTCTGCATTCTGTTTGTGCTCTTTTCTCTCTCTCTCTCTCTCTCTGTTTGTGTGTGCCCGCTTTTGGGTCGCGTCCCGACGCAGGAGCAGACACTGTACGGAGGACCGGCCCTCAGGATTTCCTTATCAATGCGTTCCATATTCGTGGCGCGCCGATTTCATTTGTGCCCTCGCCAATTTCGCAATAAAATTTCGCCAGCCTGCAAATTAAAATTGCAATGTAATTGGTTAATCCATGCGTACATTATGGCCGCGGCAGCCGGGCCATTCAAATTTGCAGAGGAAGTGTGCCCGGTAGTTTCGTTTCTCTCTCTCTCTCTCTCATTTTTGTGGATTACATTTTTCATTAAATTTTCGGAGGAATGTCGGCGAGCAGGGGGCCAGCCATGTGCGGAAAATGTGGCTGGTGGAATTTATTTTAAAAAGTTTTAGTATCTTTAATCCTCGATATTGTTTATCCGCTAGAACAATGGGAGGGAACTCTTCTGTGAATTCGAAATGTGCACTTTTATGCGTAGAAAGAACAACTGCCCAGGAAAAAAAGAAAACGCGTCTAAATTTGGGGAAGAAACTCGATTTAGAAAGGAAAGTTTCGGATGATTTTATTGCGTGGGAAAATATTTAAAAATTACATTCACGTGGGGGGGAATAAAATATTAAAATAATGGAAAAATAATTCTGCAAATACCTTAACAAAATTAAGTTTCCATTCATTCACTGGATTGGTTCCCTTCATGGGCAACCCCAAGCAAGTTCCCAGCCGTTCAGTTGATCCATTGAAGGCACTTCACAGCCAATAAATTGGGACTGAAGCCATTTGAATGCTGCATGCATCAAATTCGCCCATTTGTCGCCCCATCAAGTTGTCGACACCATCGAAGATCAACGGATTCGGACTCGGTCTCGGTCTCTTCAAAGCCCATTCTGACAGCAAAATGTATTGACTTTGAAAATTGTGAACGATTGGTGTGATAAATCCAGAGAGTGGCGATAAAAGCGCCCTTCAAAACAATATCCAACACGCCACATCCCCCATTTAGCGTCCGGCATCCAACAGGTGCCGAGGGAGGATGGAATGGGTTAGCCTGGGATGGCCGAGGATAAGCGCCAGCAGCCGAAACCCGAAAAAAGAGCCAAAATCTGTGTAGGCAATGCATAAACAAAGACAAGTGAATGCCGTGTGGCGGGGCTTGTAGGAGTACGAGTATTCTGTTGAACAATTCTTTTGTAAATAAACCTCCATTTCTTTGCGTTTGATCTCTGGCGGGACGGAGGGAGGCAGAGCTGGCACTGCTCTTTTGATGTTTGGACTGGCGTCAGCGGTGGCGCTTCCAGCTGCCGAATTGCTGCTTTATTAGCTGCGTAAGTGGCTGCCTGCCGCTCCCAGCTCCACGCAACCGGAGTGGATATCTGTTCCGATATCTGTTTTGGACTATGATTAGATTGTTTGCGCCTATCCTTGGGTCGCAGCGCTTGATTTGAGCGATTATGGCCAATAAAACAGCAGGAACCGAAGTACTGGGGCGCGATCGAGGAGCTGCAATTAAATTGCTTAACTAATTGCCGTGCACCAGTTTCCAAAAGCGAATAAAGCCGCAACTCCCACGCCAGTGGGCCCATCAATCACCGAAGCCAAAGGCAGGGGTGGAGGAGGAGCCATGGGTCGGAGTCGTGGCAGCTACGTCTGCCTTTGGGGCTAATTGGCCGCGCTTAGCACTCTTCACATCCAATGGGCACCTCGGAGAGGTCAGGTGTGAGCTTTTCTGCCCCCAAGGCAAGCCGGGACAGAACGGAAGCTCTCGTAAATTTTTGCAACCAGCTACCGTTGACAGAGCTGGCAGGGAGCGCATACCGCGGAGGGGCCAATATGAAAATGAGATCGCTTTGTATGCAAATGACTGGGAATCAAAGTGCACAATCTCGATGAAAGCTTGGCTTCGAGACAATCAAAAAATCAAGTAGTTGTTGGACGAGCAACTGACTGAACAACAATTCAATTTTCTTTCAGATTAATCTGATACAACTCCGAATTTACAGAATCAACACTCATTTATACATTATTAAAACATAAAAAAGAAGCATTAACACAAACACTAATTTAGATTTCACTTTGCGCCTCAATTCCAACTTCAACACTATACTTTTACCCCGAAATCCAAGTCCACTAATGCCAATCAATCACTAAATGTAACGTAACCGCATAGCAAGTTTCTTTATCCCAGCCACAGAAAAAACAATCATCGATTCGAAGCAAAAACACTCGCACCGAATCATGTCCTGTGCACACGGAGCTCCTACAGGAGCAGCAGCCCCAACAGCGCCAGTCAGGCAAGCGAGAGGCAGACCCAGACCCACAGTCAGAGTCAGAGTCAGAGTCAGAGTCAGTGGCAGCCCCATTGCATACCCCATAACGTAGCAAGTTTGAATATACTCGTACTCGTAAGATTCCCGAGTATATTAGGTAGCAAAATTTTTACGAGCTCATTATGGCTCATTTCGGCGATTGTTGTGATCCTTTTATGCGCCTTCGAATGGCTTCAAATGGTTATGAGGCTATTTTCTCTGTCATCCCCGCTTCGGCAGGGCTGCTCCTGTGGCCTGTGTACGGGTAAGAGTACTTGTCCGGGTCCTGGCTCCGACTCACGATATTTAGTTTGCAGTTGCGACTGCGATTTTTACTTCTCCGCTTTGCCTTGCCTTCGGTTGGAGCTGCTTTTTGCCATCGCTTTCCGCTTGTCGTCGCTCCTTGGAGCTGGTGGCTGGGGGATTCTTTGGCTGGCCGCATATTTGGAAAATGTCGCCGCGTCTCCGACTTCGATGTCTCTCTCGTTTTGTTTGTGGCTGTGAGTATTTGTGTATCTCTGTGTGTGTGTGGACATCCGTGCGCTTTGTGCAAGTTTTTTGTATCTTTGGCTTGTTGTTGATTTTACAGACTTGGCACAGAACGCGAGCATCTCAGACACACACTGACATAGGGGGAGGCTGGGGGCGGGAAAAGTAAATTTCTTCTTATAATAAGTTTATTTTGCAAACACTTGTGGCAAGCAACTTTGTTTGTTCGTCGTCTTTCTGGTTTCTGGCTTAATCTACGAGCCGTTTGTGCGAATGTGGAAACTTTGACAAATATTTGCGAAACTTTCGCGAATGGCTCTGCGCATTGAGCTGCTCTGTATTCCGATGCTGTGGATGGACGGGCTCCGATCTATTTGCATTATGCATTCGAATTTATTAGCATCTATTCTCGACCATATTTACATTGACATTAATATACCATTGAGAGCAAAGCCAAATGGATTCGACAATTGAATTAAAATCCGATTGGGAAAACCGCAGCACACACGAATCACACTTTATTGTTTAGTTAAGCATGCGACAATTCCTCAATAATGATTGTCTCGTGTTTCATACAAATGGAAATTCAGTTCTTTAGTTTCAACCGAGAAGATATCGTGGGCAAAATAGTTATCGATCAGGATATTGTTTGGAAGGGAGCACATAAAAACTTTTGCTTACAATATTACGTCTGTAGCAAACTTTATTATGAAGCTCCGTTGAACCTTTGAACGACGCTCCGAATTGGTTGGGAAATTGCTGAATGATTTTACCCTGAGAACAATAAATGTTAACTGTATGCACAGTATTGTACATGTACTATAACTAAAGGTAAATTCTTGTCCAACAAATGTGCCAACAAATAGCTAATTAAAGTCAAAGTGTGCCACAACTTTTGTTCGACTAATTCATGATTTTTTTCTGTAAAATAAAACTGAACAATATTGTAGAAACAAAATTTTGCACAGTCTCAGATGCTTTCCAGAATATTTTAGATAGTTCAAAGATGAACGTCCAAATATAATATTTGGTGTTTAATGTTTAATTTTCTATACTTCTTTATCACCCAGCTAAACAGCTAGCTACTGTTGAAAAATCCAAGAACAATTATGTACCAAAACTATTTTTTGAACCTGCTGCCCGTTGTAATAATATCATTTGTAATTTAAATAAATGTAAAAATGAACTGCCAAAGGGTTTTCGGGTTGAATATAATAATATTCCTTATTCCTTCACGCAAGAGAAACAAGTGTCTTTTTGGAGATAACTTTTCTGGCGGACGAGTGGTGAGGTGCAAAATTGATTTATCGGAACGCACCGCCCACTCTCCCATGTAAATAAACAGCAACATTTAAAACAAAACATCTTTGATTTTGTGGGCACAGACATGGGACTCTCTGAAGCAAAAATGTGGCAAACATGCCACAAAATGCGACTGGCGACTGGAGAGTCGAGCAACATTTGCTGGCTGCCAGATGAAGGCGATGTCGAGTCGAGTGCAACTCGATTGAGTGGAGAGAGTGCCGCCTATAGGAAAATCAGCCCTCATGATGAATTTTCCACCCGCAAAGAGACAGAGAGAGAGTGAGAGAGAGAGAGAGAGAGCGGGCAACGTGCTCAAAACATGTTCAGAGTGAACATGAGCGCAAACAGAAATAAACGCAGCGCTTGAGTGTGTTTGAGCATTCATTTCGTGAATCTCGTGTCTCGTTCTGCTTCGTTTTCGTTTTTGGTTTGGTTTGGTTTGGGCTTCGCTCACTCACTCGTGTTGTGTTCTCTCTGTTTTGGCTGCTTCTTCTTTGGCTTTCGGGGAGCAGTGGCGCGACTGCGACAGCGACAGCGACGTCAAAATACGGCCAACTGCGATTTGGTGGCCCATTCACTCGATAGCAGCGAATTCGCTCGGTTCGGTTGGCTAGAAGGCGCGCGCTTTGTTTTATTATCCACAATCGACATTATCAGCGGCATTATCGTTAGTGGCACTGTCTTCAGCCCACGCGCCCATTCGTGAATGCACTCGCAGTGGCCGCGCGAATAACCGCCAGTGCGTCTTCAGGTCCAGCTCCAGCTCCAGCTCCAGTTCCATCTAAATCTGAATCTAAATCTGTATCACAATTTGAGTTTGAATTTGAATTTGAATTTCGAGCGGCATTCGTGAGTTTGTTTTGGAACCGCGCGCTCGTCGCTGTCGTCGGTCGTTCGGTCAACAGCAGCAGCAACAATAAACCCAATTGAAATAAACATAAAAATAATAATAATAATAATTGTAATAACAATAAGCATAACAGTAATCGTAACGCTAACGAGCCCTCGATAGTGCCCCAGAAATCCAAACAAGTGGAAGTGCCCGAGCAACTCGAATGAGTGGAGCGCAAAGCAAGTGCAATTGGAATCGAAACTAAAGGAAACTTAGGCCGCCAACCAAATCGCAACAAAGTATACGAAACATTTGTGAACAAATACCTTAAATTAGTTACTTATTGTCTAGTACTATGCCAGCGGAGAGTGCAATATTTAAAATAGGATAATTCCAACCAAGTGCTACCCAAAAAAAAGTCAAATCAATCCGAACCGAATTAGATCGCATCTAAGAAAAATTTAATACAATAAAAAGAAAGTAACCTCGATCCCGATACCGATACCGATCCCACAGCAAGAGGATCATCTAGTTGAAGGAGCTGCCAGCAGCAGCAGCCCAACCGCCAAAATTCTCACCGCCAGCAGCAACATGAACTCGTACTTTGAGCAGGCCTCCGGCTTCTACGGCCATCCGCACCAGGCCACGGGCATGGCCATGGGCTCCGGCGGACACCACGACCAGACGGCGAGCGCAGCAGCGGCCGCCTACCGGGGCTTTCCCCTCTCGCTGGGCATGTCGCCGTACGCCAACCACCATCTGCAGCGCACCACCCAGGACTCGCCCTACGACGCCAGCATCACGGCCGCCTGCAACAAGATATACGGCGACGGGGCCAGCGCCTACAAGCAGGACTGCCTCAACATCAAGGCGGACGCCGTCAACGGCTACAAGGACATCTGGAACACGGGCGGCTCCAACGGCGGGGGCACAGGAGGCGGAGGGGGCGGCGGCGGTGCCGGTGGCAATGCATCCAACGGCTCGAACGCGGCCAACGCCGCCAACGGACAGAACAACGCAGCGGGCGGCATGCCCGTTCGCCCATCCGCCTGCACCCCCGACTCGCGAGTCGGCGGCTACTTGGACACATCGGGCGGCAGCCCCGTCAGCCATCGAGGCGGCAGCGCTGGGGGCAACGTAAGCGCCGGCGGTGGTGGCCAAAGCGGCCAGAGCGGCGCCCCAGGCGTGGGCGTCGGTGTGGGAGTGGGCGTGGGCGCCGGGGCGGGCACCGCCTGGAACGCAAACTGCACAATCTCGGGCGCCGCGGCGGCCCAGACAGCGGCCGCCAGCAGCTTACACCAGGCCAGCAATCACACATTCTACCCCTGGATGGCTATCGCAGGTGAGTGCCCTGAAGATCCGACCAAAAGTGAGTGTCCACAGTGCCAACTCCTCATTGCTCAACCCCTGAATCTGCCCTCTCCATACCCACCCAACCCCCTGACAAAGCTTTCTTGTTCTTCCCCGTGTGTTTTCCCAGTTGTTATCTGTGGGGCAATCAGGCGATGGGCTGATCTATTAGACATCAAACCCAACAGATTTTGCCAGCTAAAACAACAATTATCATGTGACTAATTACATTCAGTTTGTGTCTAAACAGAAGGCAAAAATCGTTTGCTTTATTTCCTAGTAAATGTTGAAAATGAAGCAACTAAAATAATAGCCAGCAATACAAATAAATAGAGGAGCTTGCTCTATCGCTGAGTGAATCAACCAAATGTGAGTTCCAACTTGCAACTCTTTCTATGAAATATTAAAAATAGTGCTATGAAATGGTAAACAAATTCGTGGAAATAATTTGCACACATTTCAAACATTGCTACTGCTAAAAAATACATTATTTTCGATTAAACAGTAAGAAATATTTTAGATTTTGTATCCCCATTAAAATAATCTGAATAGAGTGAAAAACGACTTTCAATTATTCTATTTAAAGACGCCTTTTTTGAGGCTACAATCTGTAGATGGTTTATTCGTTGGACGGCAATTTAAGCGATTTAATCACTCCAAGCCAGCTCATAAATAATACCAATGAGGCATGGCTCCTCTGTCTTTGAAGGCCCAGCCTCTTGCACCTGCAGGAGTCTCGCTCCTCGCCTGATACACACCTTGCAGCGCTCCGGCTGCCTCATAATTTTCAACACTTTGTTTACTAATTTTTGTCACCTTTACTTTTAATGATGCTCAGCAGCAGTGGTGGCGACGGGGGCGACGGAGGCAGCGTCCTAGTCGTAGTCGTCAGTAATTGTTGCAACGTCGGCAAAAGTGGCAACAAAAGTGAGCTGCAATTTGTGCAACAAGAGAGCTGCGAGTCGGCAACATGAACAGCACACGGCGAACAGCGAGCAGCGTAAATTATGGCATGCTGCTGAAAGAGCTGCGAAATAGCAACAGAAAAAGCAACAGCCATAGAGCAGCCACAGGAGCCAGCTCTTTTTCAGAAAGAGCCAGCAACAAGGAGAAACAAGAAACGAATCCTTTCAGGACACACACTGAGAGCAGAAGTCGCGCTTATTACAGTTAACTACGCCATTATGTAATTATGTTCAGGACCTCGCACCCAACCAGCAGGGAAGCCACCAGCCGAGCGAGGCGAACGGCTTGAGTTTGAGATTCCAGTGAGGGTCAGCACAATGGCTGGAGTAGGAGTAGGAGTAGGTCACCGCAGTGATTCCGTTTCCTCTTCTGGCCCATTGCGGAATCGAACATAAATTGTACTTTAAAGCTCCGAGCTGGTCGGGTTCTCTCCATTTAAGGGCAACAGAATTCACTCAGAAAATCAATCAAATTTCACTTACAGGAACCAGGAACAGCAAAGAGCTGGTTAAAAAACAATTAAAGTTGAACTAAATACGCAACTAAGGGCAGGACGGTGAGAGGCCCCAAGACGGTCAGAGGCGACAGGTTTCCAGACAACAATCTGCCAGCCGCATTGGAGCTCAATCAATCGATTCCGTTTATAAGGCAGCGAGATGATCAGCGTAATGAAATTTATGCGCTGTCCCTGCCCCAGCCACAGCCTCAACCCAGTCTGTAGTGTCGGTGATGAACTTGCCAGGCTAGTGCCGGTCTTGGTCCCTTGCCGAAAACTCTCCATACAGGGTGTCTCGAATGAGCAGCCATCAAACCTTTAGTGCTACAACACTCAGTGGGAACACTCCAACGAAAGAAGTTCTAATACAAAATCCTCCTACCTGAAGACAAATTTAATTATAACACCTTTCGGCTTTTCCTGCTTGACTTAGACCTGCTTCTGATTAGAAAACGTTACGATACGCCAGTTGGGCTACGATATTCAGCAAGGGGAGATTTGAGAGATATTTTATTGGATCGTAATTTCACACTGCAAAGAACAAATATATTTATAACGAATTCTTTATAAAGAATTTCTGGTCAAACTGTTTACAAACATTTAGATAAATAGTTGCAGCTTTTATTATCGGAGCTGCTTATCTCCATTTCATGCGTACAAAATCAATATCAATGACCATTTGTCAATTGCTATCGTCAGTTTGATTTATTCCCAACCCAAATCCAGGCATGCAAATAATCGTAATGTGAAAATAATTTAATTTCCATCGATCCGCTCTGAGCGGGCTGATTAAATCGATCGGAGAAACGGGAAATCAAGTCATAAATAAATCGGCGCACACTTGCAGCGATCATCGATCATTTGCCGCTGATCGCCGGCCAAAATGCAAACCGAATTCAATTTTATCGTATCTAAACATGGTTTCAGATTTGAAAACCTACATCAGTGCTTGGCTGTGACTTGTGTTGGTGGTGCCCCAAGTTGCTGCTGCCATGGCTGTGGCTGTGGCTGTGCCAGTGATTGTTGCTGTTGTTTTTCGGTGTATGTGCGAACACGGCGAGCGGCAGTAGAGGCGCATTAAATCATTGTCCTGAAGGCTTTTAAGTCATTATCGATAAATTTCAACATAAATTCGTAAATTTGCTTTATTTGCCCTGGCCAGCGTGTGAGGTGGATGTTGAAGTGGTTTATAGGTTCGTCTGTCCGTCCGTCCGTCCATCCGTCCGTCCGTCTGGCTGTCCAAATTCTCTCCCTGTGCCTCTGGGGCTGTCCAAAATTTGGCTAATTTGTGCTTGTAGTTTGGGTCCACTCTAAAGGACCGCGCAGCGTCGAGCGTTGCGTCTTTTTTTTGTCACCCAATGACCTTGAGAATCTCTGGCCAGGCCTGCAATTGACACGTATCGAGCAATCATAATTCATATTTGCCACAGTCCCTTCCCGCTGTGTCGCAATTATCAGGATGCGTTGTCCTTAGCTAGGAACAGGCCTAGGCCTGTACCTGCACCACCATTGCAATTGTGGTCCGCACGTACAATGGCCGAAGGCACGTCAGGTCCGCTCAAGGTTAATGTGCATCGTTTTCGGGCCATTGCAATGTCGATCGCTCGTATGGACTGTGTTTTTGGGCTCGGTCAAATGCCATTGCACTGCAACTGCAACTGCGGCATGTCAAGCAACAGTTAGAGCACTTGCAACATGCCATTAATAGGCCGCAAGTGCCACCGCCAACGCCCCTCGCAGCAGCGGGAGGAAGCCAGACGATGATGTTGATGATGATTATGCAAATGCGAGTGCAAACACACACAGGAAAGCATTTCAACGCGCGCTTTTAATCATTTTTTCGCCACACAATATCAAAAAGAACAACAACACGAATCGAAAAATGCGAAATGCAAAATGCAAAATCAGAAACGAATCAAAGCGCTTCAGAAACAATTTTGTTGCGGCGGATGCGCTGGAGCAGCTGATGGGGCCAGCTCCCCTGGGACCCTGATCACCCTGCCCATGCGCTTCTTTTTCGGGGATTGGTTTTCGGGCTGTGGTTGTGGTTGTGGCGCAGCTTCTTGCATTTTTTTAATGTATTTTTAAATAAGGAATTTAATAAGCACCTTGGCGGTCCTCAAGTCGCTGGACTCCGACCACGGGTTCGCGTTGCAAGCCATCGACAACGACGACAACACAAAGTGGCCCAGACACATGGGCCAGCAACAACGCGACGTTGACTGCAGCAATTTTGGTTCTTTCCATTTTTTCCCCCCGATTTCCACGCACAAACTATGGGCAAATGCAAGCGATTTTGGTTACAAAAAACCAACATGGGTTTTTGCTCAATAAAATGTAATTTTAGAATATGATAACCTTCGGTTGCTATTCAATCTTCTGTACACTTATCTAATTATTTGTACAAACAGCAAATTAATTATTTAAAATAATTTACATTGCAATTTATGCTCAAAAAACACAACCGAAATATTCCCTACATTTCGTGGGATATGAAAATGTGAATTTCATGATTTAAATGATTATATTTTGACCTCACTAAAACTTAATAAAAATATAAAAATAATCTGCCAGACACAATCCACCCTCAAATACTTTAAAATAAAGTTAAAATGGTATAGAAAAATATTTAAGTACACAACAGAATTATTTTAAATCAAGTGAATGTTTGCTGTTGTTTTTTTAAATACAAATTTATATTTGTTTGTTTGTATAAATCAAAAGACTCAGTAATATTCCACAAGAATGTGTCAGCCCACTGTGCAGCGGTCTTTTCGTGGCAGTTGCAAAATCATGTTTTAAGGTGTTTTTGATACCTAATAAAAACAACAACACGACGGCCCGACAACACATCCAAAGAAAGAACGAGCAAGAGCTACAGAGAAGTCGAGACCGAAAGAGAGAGAGAGAGAGTGAAAGAGTGAAAGAGAGAGATGAAATGCATTGAAAACGCGCCATGCCAAAAGGTCCAAGCTCTGAATGGGGGAGTAGGAAGCGGGGCAGCTCAGAAGGCAGGGTACAGAGGCAGCCGTTAGTGACCAAAACATAAAGCGGAGGGCCCGACCCCCGGACCCCTAACTCCACAGTCCCCTCCACAGTTCTGGCTACGTCATAGCCATTGCCACTCCGAGGAGACGGAGACGACGACGTTGGCGTCGCTGTCCGGTGCTCGGTGCTCGGCGTTCGGCGTGTTTATTATAAAACAACAAATCATTCATTATAACCACTTGTGTGTATGGGGATGTACAATACAGACACATGTCCATACATATGAATGTATATGAGAATGTCTGAGAAAGTGGCGTAAACATGAAACGACCTGGACGGGACTCCCAATTCCATGTAGTTTCGGATAATATGCATATTTGCGTATTATTTTGATTTTAATAATGATTTATTTATTATTAATAATTCATTGGTGGTGGGCTCTCGCCTGGATTGGGCCTCCGCCTCGTTGCCTGATTGCGATCTGATCTCCGGCTAGAGCACAGCTCTCCGATCTCCGCTCTCCACTCTGACTTCCTCCAGCTGGCAGGGTGCAAAAGCTGCCCACGATCTCGTTTGAATATCGGTTGTCTTTGGGTTTTGTAACAGAAGTTGCGCTAGCCTGCTGCTAGGAAACGCATATTATAATGAGCTTCAATTAAGATAGAAATCTCCAAGACTAAAGAGACAAAGATTTATGGGTTCACAATTGTTCAGCGGCTGCCTTGAGGTGGCTCTTCCGATAGAAGTAGTCTCCGCTACAGCGACAGCTGCTACACATGTTCCAATGGCACGAATAGCAAGAGTAGAGTCAGACAACCAACTTGAGATCATCGTTTTGTTTCGACCGTTTCTTGACCATTCCAACAGATCACTAAAATATATTTTAGATATCAACTATCAACCTGAAAGTGTTTACAGAGATTTCTGATACAGGGGAGCAGATCGTCTGCAGGCCATCCAACCTTTCGTTGATGCCCTTCGATCGAGCCATCTACCACGGTTGCTGGGGCATGTTTTCTCTGCTTTTTTCTGTGATTTACGCGTCTGGTTGCTCTCGGCCGAAATGTGGGTAACTGTTATAGCCGCTTGAGCAACATTTTTTCGTTGCTGGGTCATCGAATCGATTTGTTCGTAGCGCCCTGCGAACATTTCCATTTGTTTATGCAACATAATTTATAGGCACTACTCTGATTTATTCTGTCGTACATTGAACTCGGTCCGAAAATTCGGTTTCAATTCCGTAGGAGGACCTCTCCGTGGGGCTCCTGGCTCCCGACTCCCGGCTCCCTACTCCCAGCTCCCCCCACATTAATGTCAATTTAATGTTTCCTTAATGACTTCTTTGGCTGGAACTTGTTGTTGGCTGGAAGTTGTTATCTGGGCCCTGGTCAAACTTGTCGGCCGGCTGGGAAAGTGTTTATGCTAAACAGCTAACGAGTTTTCCCCTCAAAACTGAAGTAAAGTGAAGCGAAGAGAGGCTGCAAGTGTAGTGTCTCGTTTGAGATGCATTGTCTACCAAAAGTTTCGGATCAGCAGCAGACACTTGGCTCAGTCGATGCCACTGGCACTGCCACTGAGACTGCCATGTGCTTGGCGTCTATTTATTTGGGTCGGCAATTAAGATTTATATCTGCCCCTTTGATGGGGCAATAAAAGCCCAAAGACGCCGCAAGCTGCAGCCAGAAAATGGAGCAAATCAAGCTCTCTCTCTCTCTCTCTTTCCCACTCTCCCTCTCAGTGTGCATTCTTTCTCTCTCTCTTTCTCTCTGTCTCTGCCTCATTTATGCGGCTGGCGACTAATCCTCCCACAGAACGAGGCGTGCGCCGCCTTAAAGAGTCATAAAAATCATTTTATTGCCCCTCGTCCCTGCCCACGCCGCACGGTCCAAAAGGTGTGAAAACGCAGTGATCCGAAGGGGTGAAGCGAGAGGGGTGAGGCGGTGACTCTTTCGGAGGCCAGGAGTGAGACTCGGAGTCGGAGTCGGAGTCTGGCTGGAGACCGCAAGCTAAATGTTTAATTTTTACAAGTCGCGTCGCATGTAAACACACTCCGGACCCCCCTACTTGCAGCATCCCCCTCCGCCGAGCAACATCCACCATCTACCATCCGCCGCCAACCGTTTGTTTGAATTTGTCTAAAGTGGCCATGCCCCTGGCAGTTTGGTTTTTTAGTTTTCCCCTTTTTGGCTCTTCATAATTTCCATTTGCGGTTGCCACTGCAAAAAAAATTAAATAGCGTTTGTCAAATTTACCATTTGCCCCCTCAGCCCCCTCCCCTACCATGCTTCGACCATAGTTTTTGGCTGCTTCTTTTTGCTGTTTGCTGTTTGCTGTTTGGTTTTCGTTTCTTTTCTTTTTAATTTAATATTTTCTTTGTTGTTTCCTTTTTGTCTATGGCTCTGGATGGGCATCTGTCTGGTTCTGGCCCTGTCTCTGCCGCGGTGTGTGCGGGTCCTCCAGGGCGCTCCTCTGCCTGGAAAATTACGTTTACTCAGGCGCCGGGCGCGCATATTTAAATACACACGTGTTTTATCGCTGCCATTAAATCATATTTTTATACTTTTACCTTTTCTATGGCAAACTGCGCGACGCCCCCTTACGCCCTCCCGTTCGCCCGTTCGAGGCGTTGGCATTTCTGATTGTTTACATTTTGCACTTTCGTGGCATAAACAAACGGAGACGGCGCTAAATATCGTGAAAAAAGTAGAGAGGGCAGGGAACGGAGCATTGCAATGTCCATGAATCAGGCTGAAGGGAATTGATCGTTGGCTTATGTACATACTGGATAGATACGCCCTCGTAGTGCCAGACGAGCGGTTCAAGTGCTGTTCAGGGTACAAACTTCAGCAGAGAATGTTCCATTCGGTTAACGTTCCAAATGCTAATCAAAACTATTGACTCTATGCTGGCTAGAGCAAACAACTATCAAATGGTAGTTTAAATTTAAATAAATAAATAAGAAATAGTTCACTGACCCAGGAGAGACTCTACAGTGTACAGTGTACACTCCGCGAGAAGAACAACAAAGCTCTCTCATCCAGTTGTCTGTGCCACACGTGCGGCTGCTTAACCTGAAAGCTTCCTAGTCCCCATCCCTCCATCCAATGTCCCGGCTCCCGCAGATCTCTCCGCCACCAATTTTGATTGCACATTTTTTAAACGTTTCTCCTTTCTGCTTTGGTTGCATTTTCAGGTAAGATAAGATCTGATTTAACACAATACGGCGGCATATCAACAGACATGGGTAAGAAAACTTCCACTTTTTATTCTGTTTCATTATTCTCTCTTAAGTTGCGAAATACTAGCCGAGAAAACGGTCGTAGAGTCGGTAGAGAGTGTGGGCATGTCTACTAATGGTAAATCCTAGCAAACTAATTACGATGGTGTTGGTCTTGGTGTTGGTGTTGGCCCTCATTACCCTTAGCATACAGCTGAGCGATCGCGCAAGACGAAAATTTATGCAGCGAAGGCGTTGCTGTGGGTGGACCGGGAAACCCTGGAGGCCGCGTGTGGAAATGATTGATTCCCTCTGCTCTGATTAGCTAAAAGCTTGCCATGTTGCCCAGTTCTCCTGCTGGCAATTAATACTAAACATGGCATTTCAATTGGCCAACACGCACAGCGGCGGGGGAGCCGATGCTCCGCCACCTCGTCGTTGCCTCACTATCGGCCTCAGTGCTATCAGCATTTGTTCTTGCTGCTGCTGCTGTTGCTGATCGAGCAACAGAACAGAGCCGTGCTTGTGCGGCTACCCTACACTGGAAGGTAAAGACTGTCTGTTCTATGGAGTTGGATGGAGTTTTAAGAGCAAAAACCAAGCGACAAACATCTACCGCTGCTACCATCTGGGCCTCTTGTCAGGGAATTTCGAATTCGTTTAAAGTTGATCTGAAAGCGCTGCCGCAGCTGAACATCAAAGCCCCAGAGCCACTGCAGGCGTGTATGCCAGCCTGTTGTTTGGGACCTCTTGATGCGAGGTTATCAATCAGCGCGGTCGGTGCGGACTCCAGACTCCAGACGAGTCAAGCAGCTACTTCTTAAAATCCAATTACACACGTGAATAGGGAGGGGCAACAGTCTCGTTCTCGTGCTGGGACTGAGGCTGGCCTCTCAAATTACAGGCATTGATGGCAGCGCATTGAGGCGAAAAATTGCAGAGGCATTCACGAGAGAGCCACCCAGGTTCGGTCTCCTGCTTGTGCTGGTGGCTCTGCTCCCACTTATTATTTATATTCAATTGATAATCTCGTGCAAATCGGTAGCTAAATATTGGCACAGGCGCAACAAGTGGGCTTCTCGCTTCTCCCAGCGATCCACGATCCACGATCTCTGCTCTATGCTGCTCTGGTGGGCAGCACTTTTGGCACTCACAGATAAGATCGGCGGATAAAGCCGCTTCCAAGTAGGTGCTACCACAGGAGCTACTATGCCTGGAATGGCTGCACTTAGGCAAAAGCAGGGTCTGAAGCAGCGGCAGGGGCAGCTATTCTCTTCCGGCTCGCCGACATTGAACGTGGCGTTTCGGGCCGCCGGGCCGCCGGGCCGCCGGGCCGCAGCCGCCGCGAGAGATAATTAAATTGCGGCCCTAATAGAATTAAATGCCGTGTTTGCATTTCAAAATCCGCAACGTGCCAGAATGCAATGGCCAACCCTATTTGTGCGTCCATCCACCTGGCCCGAACCCAATGGCCAGCAAAAATGTCATTTTGGACAAGTTTTGATAATTGCAGGTCCGCGAGTCGCGTCTCCGCGTGCTGCTGGGCTGGTGGTGGTGCGCCGGCTACTGTGCGGCAGGTTGCACGTCGCACCACGTCGCATGTTGCACAGGCAGGGCTGGACTACACTGGACTGGGGCCATGTTGCATGTTGCAGTTAATAATTATTGAAATGTGCGGCCTGCCAGGAATTGTGCTCTGCTCCTTGCGCTTCCTGCGCGGCTTCCTCCGTCCGTCAGTCAGTCAGTGGCTGCCACATCCCCCCTGTGTCCCCTCTGTGCTGCATGCTTCGTTACCTCTGCCTCGTTGGCTGGCCAAAAGGCTAACAATGCTTGCATTTTCCCACCTTTTTCACATAACTTTTTCTGTTTTTACTTTACTTTGTTTTGTTCTGCTGTGTTTTGTATGTTTTGTTGCTCCGCAGCCACTGCTTCTGCTGTTTCTTCTGCCGCTGCCAGTGGCAGGGTAAACAAGTCGGCCACTTGGCCAACTCGTTACTTCCCCCAGAGAGCCCCCTGTCCCCCTGCCAGCGCACATGTCGATGCCGATGTCGAAGTTGTTACCACTTTGAACGCGCGGCCGGCCTCCGTCGGACGCCGTCGGCTGGCACCCTGTAATAAATTCGTATTCAAATTGTTAATTGAATATTATTTGTTAAATTTGCAAGCATTAAATGTAAATGTCAGTGGCGGATGTCCGACGGGGCGTGACCAGTACCAGTCGGGGGCGAGCGAGTTCTTTTTTTTTGCATAATTTTCCAATTTTCAGCTTGCTTTAAGCATGTTTTGGCTCTTATTTATAATTGAATTTATGCGATTTTAATAGTGGAATGTCGCATGTGCGAATTATGTATCAAGCAGACCATCTGAATGGCGGACATATTAGGGGTATTCACACGTGTTTCGGCCAAAACTCGGTCACTGTTCCAACGACCTCAAAACGGTCTGCAAACATTCGGAGAATGTCCCCGCAGAAAAAAAGCCAAAACCCTTCCCAAGAGAGTTTTAAAATTTGCAAACAAATGACAAAAGCGGTGCAAAAAAATGTGCCAAATGCGATAGAGTCTGGGTGTGAGTGTGAGTGTGAGTGTGAGTATTGTGAATACCGAGTGAGAGTGTGGTCGTGGTGGTCGTTGTCCTTGTCGTACTCCTTGCTGTTGCCAGGCAATTTCCATAATTCATATTCATAGACATTACACAACAACAACACCAAACAGAGGGACAGAGACACACAAAGAGAGAGAGAGAGAGAGAGAGCAAGAGAGACAGAGTCCAGACAAACAAACGACAGCACCTGCAATACGGACAAATGTCTGTCCGAATGCTACACCCAAAAAGGAAAGTCGAGCAAAAAATGTGCAGAATTTAAGTGCGAGCAAAGTGCAAATATTCCACATATGCTAGTGCCAGCAACGAGAAAAGTGACAGAAAGAATCCATTAAATAGAGATGGAGAAACCAAAGAAGAGAGAGAGAGAGAGAGAGCAAAGCGAGGCTTATGCATAAATTATCCATTCAGAGAACTCGAAGAATATTGCCATTAACTTGATGGAATCACAGGCAAATTAGGCCAGAGACAGCATCAGAGACACAGCCATACAGACAGATACACTCTCCCCGTATCCCCACATCCGCACATCCACAACGTGCCAGCAATTTGATTTTACACACTTCGAAATTATTAACTGGGGAGCATTTTGTGTGGCAAGTGTAAGTGCCGTGTCCTCTCCAACATAACAGAACAGAACAGAACGGAGCAGAGCAGAGCAGAAACAGTTCATAAAATGGCAACACGGCACTTTCGTTTTTACCGTTGGCATGTGCAGCATGTGGATGTGTCCAGATGGAGGGGCGTGGAAACAGGTGGAGAGTGGGGAATCCATGGTCCATGGCATGTGTCGCCTGCGAGTGTGATGCTGAGGGAAGGGACATCTGGGCCGGGCAGGACTTTCCTGTTGTATCCTGACCTGTGCAGAGGCGAACAGCCGGGCAGGTTTCAATTAATGAATTAGTCATTTTGGCTTCATTGCTGTAATGAACACTTTGGGGAGAGGACTACCGGGTAGCAAGAGGGCGGAGAGAGAGAGTTTTGCTAATTATATGAGCACAGGTGTTGGGGGATGAGCGATGCCCGGAGTCGGAGATAGTTTGTATTACGGAATGGAATAGAATAACACTTGAAACCCTCTTTGAATAGTGAAAAGAAAGAATAGAAAATGCATCAAATCTATGCTGATGTCTGCTGCTTTGGCTACCAAATAAAGCCATAAACTTGAATCCATTACAGGAGAGTCCCCGCTTTAGAGTCCATTTAGCTGCAGCTTTGATTGCAGGGTATTAGGAGTCCCATTCCATTGTGTCATTACAGCTTATCGTATCCGTTGGCCAGATCAAAAGTGAGCCCCTAATGAACGGTTTGACTGGGTTTTGTTTGTCGAGAGCTTGGAGCTATGACACACCCCCTCCATTGGGAGTTGCAACTGCCGCAATTGATGCCACTTGGGTGAAAGCAATGCAATATTTACTCAACAGAAATTATAAGCTATCTGTCTGTAAATATGTGGCTCGTCCCGGAGCCACACTTATCAGTGGGGAATCAGCGGGAGTTCCTCGCTCTTATTCCATCTCTGGGTCGGAGTCATCGCGCGTCATTCTCATTCTCTTTCTCGATCTCACGACGCTGTAGGTATGCAATTAGTCAATTAATTTCAAAATTTATTAGCCGCCAAAAAGCAATTTGCTCCAGATCAACAAGAACACACACAAACAAACGAGCACAGACCCCCACTCGGAGTGGAGAGCGAACACAACACAACACAGAAGATCGCGAAATGCCGGCGGTAAACGGGTCCCGGCCCTGGCCAAGACCGTGGCTGGGGCAGATCGGATCGGATCGGATCCGTGTCCGTTCGACGCGTTGGTCAGATGGCAAATGAAGAGCAGAGCCCTGGGTAGTCCTGCCAGTCCAAACTTTCGGAGAATCGCTTGAAACTAGTGATTTGAAAAGGAGGCAAGGAGCTCGAACTCGGATCTGGATCTGGATCTGTATCTGAATGCGGCATTCCCATTCATTCAGTGGGAAAATGTGCTGCAGATAATTTATGGGTTCAGCGTCAGCCCCTTCCTCGCCCCTTTCAACCCGCTCATCAGCGGAAGTGCGTGCTCCGTTTGTGTGTGTGTGTGTGTTTGTGTGTGCATATCTCGCAGATATGAATCGCAGCTACTCGGGTTTACTCCGAACTCTCTGCGCTGACCGATTTTCTAGGTCAATTCGCTGGTGGGAAAAGCAAGGCAAAAAACCAAAACACTAAAATAAGAATATGAAAAAATAAAAATAAATGACTTTTGTGCATGTCGCGGACTGCTTGCCGTCGGCTTGGCTTGCGGGCTTCAGGCAATAAATTTCCCAAAATGTGTTCCAAAATGTTTCTCAAATAGTTTCAAAGCCGCTGCCACGTGCTCTCGCTCGCTCGCTCACTCTCCACCTCTCTCCCTCTTGCGCTCTCACCTTAGCCAGGTATGATTAATAAC